ATTTTCAAAATTAACTAGGTAGTTAAGACTACTATTGGCTTCACGGTCTACATGGCCTTACCACCTCACCTGACACATTCAAACCAGCAATTAGGTACTGAAATTAAACAGAATCAGAGGACCTCCTGAAAGGCATATGCAACATTCCAGAACTTTGAACAACAACAATCACCCCCTTTCTGATGTGATCATGTCAGAGATTAAATGACCTCCCATTGCTGTATTTTGGCCCTCTTGTCCTACCTTACATTCCCATCTTCTCTAGGACTCAGAGATGCTTCATGCATCTGTGATCCCGCACACTCAGAACGTGCAGTGAACAAGTGAGCCATGAGATATGGCTGGACAGGCAGGACTCGCAAGGACGGTCACTTGAGATTGCTCCTCCAGAGCAGTACGGACACAGACTTCCCCAGAACAGTTGCAAATCAGAAACTTGATCTCAATGTAAAGTTTCTTCCCAAAGTCATACCAAAAACTCATTTCAGCACTAGGCAGCAACTTAGCAACCGTGCTGGATTCCTGGGGAAAGCAGCTGGATGTATTTGAAAGCCATTGGCCATTATGTCACCAAGACAGTGCTAAGGAAAAACTTCAAGCACTGAGCGACTCATTTCCCTAGCTGAACTCATTAAACAACACAGAGTCATACCTACCAGGCATTTCAGAATTCCAGTGTGTAAATAAGACAGATTCACCATTAGCCCACTTGAACATTCCCTTTTCTTCTACATTTGAAAGTCCAATCCAAAAGTATCTTTCTGTTCTCAGCCCAACCAGGCTGGTTAGATAGGCTTGTTCGTATCTGTTTAAAATAAATCAGTCAATAAATTAATGCTGTTAAAATTGTTTATATTTATGTTAAATTTATATTTATATTTATGTTAAAATTATTTATATTATTCATACTGTTAAAATAATTTTTTAGCTTCCATATCAGTGTGTTTTGCTTTCTTCTCAGATGCCCAGTGAATAATGTGGCTTAATCATGGACCAAGAGGAAACTGGTGGTAAAGAAGAAACCTGACATGCCTTATGTTTTATACCACTGTATTTTGTGAGTTTCTAGCACTCCTGTATTTTATTACTTCTTGCTTCAGACAATCTGAAAAAAGAACCTCAGCATTACTGAAGAAAGCTACAAAAAGTAGAAGCTAAAGTAGTATGATACTAAATTATAAAACAAAGTCACACCGTAAATTAGATCCAATGATTAAGCAAGACAATTATATTTAGCAAACAAGCCTATGTAGAGGCAAAGTCTGTCATAGTTCACTGTGGTGTTTAGACAAACAGCTCTTAAGAAATCAGAGCAAATAAAAAAAATGTCTCCCCCTAACAAGGTGTGGTCTGAAGGCCACATTAATGTTAAAACAATTTTATGGCAGCTGCAGTGCTACCTGTTTAGAGAGCTACCATTCATGACAGCTGGAGCTTTCACAGTAGAATATAACTACTTTGATTATATAGAAACAAATAAGATTATGTAAAGCATCAAGACATCTGCAAGAAAAATGTTTTGTTTCTTAAACCTTCTATATTTCCTATACTTCAAATAAATTAAAGTGTACCTCTTTTACAGAAATTTTGTATATACTGAGCCCTGGCTGCATTGTGACAGATTTTCAGGTACCAAGTGCTTTACATCATTTGATTTCTCACTTAATTTTTTTAAAAAGTATCTCAGTTCAAATAGCAGATAGTTGAAAATTCTATCCTCTTGCTCATTTGTACTACCTTTTTAAAGGAATTCAGAGCCATATCTGTTTTTGAGATTAAAGCTACTTGATTTAATAATAAAGATTGGATTCTGTATTCCTCACTCAAGTTAGTGACCGCAATTAAGAAGTAGAAGATACAGTTCTACTTTTTATTTGACATAACCACCTACATCAAAACTGATTTCACTGCTATAACCTACTTTCAGTATAAACCAGATTCCTGGATTTGAATTTACATGTAAAAACTGTGAACAGTTCTTTATTAACACATAGCTGGCCTCTGAAGCTACATTTTTGCCCACATCAGAGACTTTATTCTGATATGCAGGTGATGCTAGAAGCTGAATCCTCAAGTGACCCCGCTCAGACAAGTAGACATTTACTTACCTGTCTTCAACAGTTGCTAAAAAAGCCTGATGCCTTCCACAGGTTTGATTTGCTTGAGAAAATGTTACAAATGTATTTCCAATGAGGTAACAATAAAAACCATGTCTTTTCCAGCCCTGTCAAAATAGATGTGATCACATGTAGGAAAGGGAAAGGGAACCAACAAAACAGAAAACTGATTTATACCACCGTTACCTAACCACTAGACAAAGAACCAGTGTAACTGAGAAAGGTCAGAGTGGGAACAGGCAGGATCAAAGCTTTTTAGAATTTTGTTTCACAAAACAATTTTTCATATCTAATAAATTTTCAATCAGTGTATTCCACTCAAAAAGGGATGAGAGGCTTTTCTGTGCACCTTTTGCACAAAGAACAGGATTATAACCAGCCCATAGGCATCATGCAATCACAGGGATGGTCTTGAAAAGCAAACTTCAGGTTGAATTTTCAGATAGGGAATGACACCTCAAACAAGTTTGTTTATTCTTAGCTCATATGAAAAGTTTTGTCATTCAAATATTGTTTACTGAGGAACATGCTCTCAGAGAAGGTTGCTGTGACCAGCCACAGTTCACAAAAAATTTCTTCTGATGGTTTTTAATTTCTCACTTTTGAGAGACATTTTTTTTCTACAAGCATGCACTTCATTCTGTAGACAATGGTAACATCCATAAACATGAGGAACCCTTTATTTCCTCTAACACTTGTAAGGATCCTAGATACTCTTTACAAATACTGGGAATAATCATCAAATACTTTCTCTAAGGCTGTGTAAAACAAACTGGGAAGAAAAGACAATTTCTTCAAGGAAAACAAATACTCAATAAGCTTTCCTATCACATAATAAATATCAGTAGTTTTTTTGTAATTACTGGGTGTCATGTCATTAAAGGCTAGCAAGTAAACAACAGATCTTCTGACAGTTCAGAAGAAGCACAATAGATTCATTTGACTTGGCCACTTGGCCAATAAGTTGTTCAAAGTAGAGAGCACTGCCAGAGACCACAGCAAAGCCCTGAGAACAGTATTTAGACAGGGACACCCTTCCTGCTGTGAACAATTCTGTAGAAAGCTGTAGCTAGAGCTGAAGTGCAGCTGATGGCACAGGCAAACTCTTTAGGGAAGATTGAATGCCAATCAAGATAAATGGTCTGCTGCAGGGATAGCAGGTTTGAGATTTGGTTTAAGTCCTGGAAAAATGAAGGGAGTATCAAGAGCCAAATAACTGTCTTAGATTAGCTTTAGTCATGTATATCACCTACCCCATCTGCCATAGAAATGAGAAGGCAAACTCTTCTGATTATGATGAAACAGAAAACCTATTTTTCTGGGTTTTCTGTCACCTAGGTGACAGTTTCTCTTTTTTATCATTCTGAGCAGCCTATTCAGATCAGACAGCTTTTTCTTCACTTACTCTCTGGCAGCCCATGTCAATAGTTTCCTCTTCTGTGGGAGCATCTGACATAGGTTTCCTTTTACAGATGTAGCCAATTTTCTTTTCACAAGAATGGTCTGCCCAAAATCCATCCTGAACATACAAACAGAACTTCAGTCAATTGGGATTTAATCTTCAAAAAAAAAACTGTCTTATACTTCTAAGTATTTAATAATTTTTTGCTAGGACTGATTAGAAGTATCAATGATGGAAACATAAATGTACTTGGGTAGGTAAACATCAACAAACTGAGAAGATCAACTTATAGTTATGCACTGTTTTGTCAGCTGACAGCTGATTCCAAGAGATAGTGAGTTAGTACAACTTCCATGGAATTTCTTCAGCCAAAACCTACATCATGTTTTCCATATTGTTTCTGGGCACTGATGCAAGTGAAAGGACGCCGGGTCTTCTAAAGCTGCAAAAAGGAACAGCAGGCTGCTGCTTTTATTTATAGCTACAGCCATCAGTATATCTATGTATTGCTCTTGGAATTAAAAGGGCCTCAGAGGTTTTGATACAAGTCTTACTTAATATGTATTCAGTGCTGAAGGACACCAAGATCCTTCTGTAGTGAGTGATCCTGTGTTAGGTGTGAAGGAAGAGAAGGCCTGGACCAACAGAGGATAGAGTCCTCCCTTCCCAAAGTCAAGGATCACCATTCAGACTGAGTATTTTCAGGTGGTTGTTGACCATTAAGCACTAAGCTTGCCACTGAAACTGTATTTCTGAGCAATGATCATGGCTTATCTGGCTGCACTGAGTGCTGCAGTTTTAGCAGGGCATACAGCACATGACCAGTGGGCCCAGATCTTAATGCTTTGATGCCTTCATCCTCAAACTAATTTTATTTTAATCCCCAACCAAATGCTGGATCTCTTTTAAAATGTCAGGTCATCTTCTGTCGACAGATTTGCCTCAACACATACACACCACTGCATATATCTGTACCTATTGTTGCCTCCTTGTAAATGAACCCAGTGCTTTGGCCTGAACTTCAAAATTTTACTGACAAAATAACACTTTACAAAGTGAGAATGAGGACATAAATAGCACTGATTCCTATTTTTCTATCCATTTCTTTATCCAGCAGATTTCAATGGATGGCCATATGGAGGGGGAGAAAACAGTAGGGTAGAGCAACAATAGTTTTTCCCAGGTCTTGGCATTGTGGAGCAGCATGAACCGACTCCAGACCATGCTGTTGGTGCCCGGCACCAGATGATACTGCTAGGGCTAGTTGCAATCCCTACTTGCCTTGCCTTTCTCCTGAACTCTTATAGAAGCAATCAAACTGTCTTTCCTCTAACTTTGAAACAGAAACTAAGGTTTCTATTTCCTAGAAAAATATAACTCATACTGGAATTCAAACCATCACAGGTGACTTACTTAGATTTGCAGAAAATTAAAATCTAGTGGATGCCAACTTCTGTACACAAATAGAAATTTTTAACCTTAATCTAAGTTCCTCAAATTCCATAACACTTGGCTTGGCCAGAAAACACCATCTCAGTACTCAGAAAGTGACAAAACAGGTTCTGCTCCTTCCTGTTTTTTTCTTGAAATGCTTGTTTGAAGGCAGTCAAGTAATTTTAATGAGAATCACAGGTTTACCAGTGAATTTCAGCTTCCCTATGTGTTCCAAAAGACTGTAAAAATATATAAATTTTAAAAAATATATCTAGGGAATATGAATATCAAGAACTATTCCAATACTTTTTTAAAGCACTACTCAAACCACAAAATGAGGCCTGTCTGCCTCTTACTTCCTCTGATGCCTCCTGCACCAATACTTCCATGTGTAATATCATAAACCTTAACACCAACAGATGGGGTTAGCCAAAGGGCACAGGCTGGTAGGTGAGACACGACCTCAAGTGTGTGTTCCTAGAAACTCAGCACCCACATGCACCAAGGCCAGCTGCCCTGCTCGCCTCCCAGGCCTGAGCAAATTCTTCAGCCTTGACCAGAATAGAAGTCCCTGAAGCAAGTGCCATTTGGAGCCTCAATTGATTGACTCTCACATTGGAGCACTCAGCTGTGAGTGTCCTTCCACTGTCTGACCCTATAACTCTGATAGGCAAATCATCTCAACCAGCACTGGCACAGCCACTGCACAGACAACACAGCACAACAATTCTCACACCCTTAAAAGACTGTTGGCTCAATTACCATGTGCACCATGGCATGGCTGACATGGAAGAAATATACATTTACACTCTTCTCACCAGAGTATGCCCACTAATACAGTAGAGAAGATTTTTTTTGATTGATTTTTAATAGGGACTCCTCTATGTGCCTTACTAATTTCTCCTGCTGCAGAGCTGGCTCAGCCCTCTCCTGCTACACTCAACCTTTAAACTTGAGTGTTTCTGCACCAGAATTTTGGTGACACATGAGCCAGGTGCATGCATACAGGCCAAGGTTGCTGTTGATGACTTCATTGAAGTGAAGCAAGTGAGAAAACTAAGCCTACTGGAGCTTGACTGAGAGCCTGTGCTCCAGGTAGAGCTCAATAGAGTGTCTAGGAAATTGAGGAAAAAAACCTTAGTTTTCCTCTTCAATTTATAAGTGCACTCACCAAAAGCATAGCAAAAGTACAACCATCAAGTTTTAATTCTGCAAAGTAAGAAAATATCTATGGTTTGTGTACACACTTTTTTCCCTCCTGATAAAATAGGCAAACTCTAAAGGAGGTGGTAAGCTTAATATTTTTAATTATCACAAAAAGGAAAAAATACAGCATCAACAAAGACTGACTTTTATGCCAGGTATTACCTCTGTTCCTGTGATGCTCCTAGGTCACTGACCATTGCCAGATTCCAGAAATCAGCCTTTTCAAAGCAGCCTTTAAACTGTAGGTATACAGTCACTCAGGAAAGGCTTTCAGTAATGCCACTGCTAAATATTTTACTACATTTCTCACAGCTTTTCATGTGCAGTGCAGATATAAGCATAAAATCTAAACCACCTACAAGATTGATAACTTTGACACGAAAAATAAAATTAAGATTTCTATTTTCTTCTGAAGAGAGCATTTCTCTCTAGCATCAATAAAAATTCCTAGTGCAATTTTTAAATGTGAATCCCATATTCAGTCAAAATATAAGAAGCCAGACATATCCAAAATGTCTTTTTAGCTTCCTGAATAAACACATTTATATGTTCATCTGCTTCTCAGTGTAATTATAAGATTATTTTTAAAGTCCACATGCACAAACTGAAATAAAAAAATATGGATCTTGGGGAGCAGTTGCTACTACTTGTCTGCTTCTTGGGGGAAACAGTGAAATTTTCTGGTAACCTTAAACAGAGATCTTTTCTCATAAAATTAATTCCTGACTCTACAATAGGCTGCTTCAATAGGTAATATCCCCATTTTTTAAGTTATCTTAATTATTTGCTCTTGCATAGGAAAAGCCCAAATGATAAATTACATTATAAGACAATTTGGTCAATAGCTATGTGACTTTACCTTTCCCTTCATAACGACACAGTCCTCTTGTCTGTTGTTTGCATGAGTGGGTTCTCCACGAAGCCACTTTGTGTAGGTGACAGGTGTTCCATCACTCCATTCAAAATACATCTGAACCTTGAGGTCATTCAACCCAATCCACAGCTCATCAGATGGTTCTAAAACATACAATTAACATTCCTGTCACATAATGTGAATTTCTGTCTTTGTGGAAAAGAAAAAATTAATTCTCAGGAAGTTGAAAAGGCAGTCAGGAAATTAGGGCTCTCAGCCTCATAGAACCTCTCTCTCTCATATTCTTACATGAAAATCTCAGCCTGATTCTCATATACCCACTCCAGTCATCAGGAAAGGCCACTCCCCAAAGTGGCAATAAAATAAGGGTGTTCTGCTTCATAGAAAATGACCAAAATACTCCCTTTGCTGAATTGTATTGCAACACAACTAGGTTTCCAATTCAAAACACTTGTAACAAGATACGAACAAATGCCCAAATAAATTAGCTCCCCTTTCCCCCCCTACTTTTAGTATAGTGCAGAAAGGAATGTCCTATTTCCTAATGCTAAGACACCCAGTGATATCTTTTAGAGCTGAAAACCAGAGTATTTCCAAGTTTTCCCATTATCTGTGTTCCTATATTTTATTTATTTCTGAGTAAAGTGAAATGACCGTGGTTGTTGGATTTTTTTCACTTTACAGTTAAAGGAGTTAGCTGTTGGCTTTTGGCTTAAGGGAAACCGCAGGACTGGTCAAGGAATTTACTTCACACTGTCTGTTTCTGAGAGGCTTTCCATTCTGGCTAACCAAGATACTGCCAATATCACCCTCCCAGCCAGTCACTTGAATGACAGAGAGTCAACCCTCCATCCTTTCTCCTTATCTCCCTTGACTCTCCTGCCTTTATTGCATCTAAGTGTGATCAGCCCTCATAGCTCATCCATAATTCCTTACCACCTCTCCTCCATTAAATTCACAGGCTCTCAGGCTCCATTTCCAAAATCACACCTTTCCCCCTTCTTGCAAACTGTGTTTTATGTTCAGAAGTCCCCCAAAATTGCATTTCAGCACCCTGTTTAAATTCTCTTCCACTAACACACTGAATGTTCTTATTCTACTGTCCATCATGCTCTCATTCCCCCCTTGCCCACTGTCACCCTTGCTCTTTAATTTATTTCTTGTTTAGTTACCTCTTAAAATCTTTTTGTCTACTTTTACTGAGCATTTAGCACAGAGGAGGCATTGTCCATGCCCAGAGCTCCTACAGTGGTGGGCTCACACCAAGGTAATACTAACAGTAAACAACATTCTGTAACAAAATAACTTCATCAAAGCCATCTAAATAAGCCAAGCAAATCTATGGAGTCTCTTCCTATATAACTTTTTTTTTCCTCACTTGAACTGCTGCTTTTTTGCAGTCATCTCTACAGCTGTATGACTAAACACCAAGAGAGGTTTTTTTTTTTTTTTCCAGCAAATTGTAAAGCTGCTTCCCATTCTCAGTCATGCACTGGGCCACATTTGTGCCCTATCACATGCTGGACTTCCGTGTAAACATCCAGAATGCACTTCTTTATTCTTCATGTTCCTCTCTAAAGTTCTCCTTTGTGGGTGATGCCAACAAAAGCTCAGCTATCACGACAATATTCATCTCATTGTACCCCTTCTTCCTTTGTTTTATCATGGGACTGTGAATTGTTTGCACAAAGATAAACTTTTGTTCTTTCTGTACAGCAGTGGTCTGATGCAGACCAGATTCTCTAGGCACTGCAATACACAGTGCTCTCCTCTCAGTGGTGAACAAGGGTAATGTGATACACTCATAAACTGTTGTAAAAGGCTTCTTTAGATGTACCAATTTTACTCCTCTGACAAGAATGCTTTCAAAACAGTCTGTTGCAGCTAGTGTGTCATTTGTGAGAAGCCTGCTTTCCTTCAGGACTATTTGCCTTTCAAAAACACTCAACTTTACAAAAACAACAGCAGTCAGTTCAGGAAAGGACTTTGGAGGAGGTGTCAAACTATGTAATAACCTACTTCACATATATAAGGTGAAAATACAACTAGTTTCCTTTAGAACCTGATTTCTATCAAATGTCTTAATGTCTCATCAAGAAGTCCCACCTTTCCTAAGAGTAAAGGTTTCATGTTGTTCGTGAAAAACCAAGTCACTCTTCCAGGAATGTGAAGGTAAGCACAAGTTGCCATGGAGGTAGCAAGGACACAAAAGTAAAGTATATAAACTGTTTTATGATTTCCACTCCAGGACTGCTGCTATGCTGCAGCTCAAAGTGCGTGGCCACACTTCCAGTGAAGGGTAAACTCGTCTTTGCCTGGCACTGAAAGCACATATAGGATCAGTCACTGCAAAGAAGCACACCTGGGTGTGAACCTGCTTCTCCCACAAAAAACATTTCCTCCATGCAAAAGTAGGTTCATGTAAAGCAGCAGCAATCATGAAATTGCCTCAGAGTCAGCACAGCTTCATTCTCCTCATGAACACATCTTGCATCTGTAGACTAACTTGCCTTGCAGCAGCTCAAATGTGTGCTCAGAAACCAAGCACATAAGTACTGTATTTGATATGGGGCACATCTGAATCCATGTACTGGGACAGATGGATTCTTTTTCAGGAGAAACATGACTTGAAACATAAGGACATGGCACTGTTAATCACAGGGCACAGATCCCAAACTGTCTTGAACCAGCAGATTTTGCTTCCCCCCATCTATTTTTGAAGATCAATCATAAAATCCTTTTATCTTATGAAAAGTTTTAAATTCATTTAACCTATATAAAAGGAGAAAGGAAGGAGAAGCAGACCCTAAGAAACAGGAGTTTAGAGATAACGCAATTTGCATCACCACAGCTTTTTTTGTGGAAGCAAAGTCTGTTTGGGTTTTGTGCTCCTATTCTCTGTTTTTATTACCTCTGATTTTTAAATTGAAAATTTAACACCTTCTCCAATCTGTGATCAGAACAGTTATTTTTAAACAGTCTCTTCATTTTATTAACAGGTAAGACATGTTCAAAACACCTTCTTTACTCAGTAAATATATATATATATATGTTATTATGAAAAAATACTCACTGTACCCAAGCAGAGAAATAACAAAGCTGTATTCTTCGACATTGTGGATGCTCGCCAGATCTCCATCCTCTTTCCTGCAAGATGTTAAGGCATCTTTCCATATTTTGGGGTCCCTGTGAATTATGTAACAGTTACCAGCATATGACATCCATTGATCAGGACACCTAATAGGCACATTAGTCTCTGAAAAGAAAAATTGCCATGAAAAGTTTCAGAATTCTGTTCTTAAGTAAAGACTATACATCACATCAGAAAATATTTAACAAAAAAACTTCAGTCATATATTTTCTTCAAGAAGAACAGCAGAGATGACAAATATGTATAGCGATAAAAATCTACATGAATAATTGAAAGTTGAAACTTCCACATTGTTTTTAAAGAACAAGTGTTTGTAACTTGAGAAAATACAATTAAAATACAGTTTTATCTGTTATGTATGCATACATGCATACTAAAATGCAAGGTCTTCAGAGTGGTGCTTTATAATTTTTCTACACTGATGTCAGCACCTCTCTTTAACCCCCATGCTATATGTTAAGAACCTGATTTTACAATACATATTTATGAGAGTAATTATTTTCCCCAAAAACTTAGGGACTTTATGCATTAGCCCATGTGCTAAACTACAGAAATAAATAACTGAGAATAAGAATCAGAGAACCCAAAGGAGATTACTGCTTTTAGGAATCCTTTTCAGCAGCTTAACTGAGAAAATTATGTTGACAAATTAAATGATTTATGCTTAAAACTTGCTTTCAGAAGCTCAGTAGAAGAGCACCAGGGTATTGCCAACAAGAACATTGCTGTTCAGCAAACAATTCAGCCTTGGGAGGAGTGCCACTCGAACATATAATAAACAGAGTATTGCTGTTGTAGAAACAAATTAGGATTCTTGCAGCTCTTTATTTATAATCAGCAGATGGGTTTAGCAATATAGAGTAGAACAAGGACAGCAGGTTTTCAGAAATTCTGCTGGCAAAAAAACTTGTATATGTCAGAAGAAGAAGCAATGTGTTTGTTTAACAGTGGGATATATTCTGTAGAAATGTTTAAGTAGACACCCAAACTCATGACCAGTCAAGGCCCATGCTGCGGGCATGTATCCTGTTTCAACTGGACTACAGTGATGATTAATAGATACTTTGTGTCACAACACACATTTCTATTATAAACAGTACCTGCCCATTCAGATCTGAATCTAAAAAGTGCTAGCCTGTTCCCACAAAGTTCTAGCAAAACTAAACTTTTTCCCCAGGACAAGGGGCTCAATAATGCTTGGTCAGAGACCTCTCAATTCTGCCAGAGGAGAGGGAAAAGGGAAACAGAGGGTGGGGGAACGCCAGGAAAACAAACTGAATGTTTGGTGATGTTGGGAGAAACAAGAGAGCCCAGCGGTGACAAGCGCTGCTGTGGAAGATGTTAGATGTTAGTCTGATGCTTCAGACAGCCGCCAAATTTGTCCTATACCTGGTCTCAGCTCTGAGCATATGCATCTTACAGTGCTTTGTCAAAAACCAGAGAACACTCAATATACCCTTCTGCAAACTGCAAACACTGCACAGAACAGAAATCACCAGTTCAGACATGGCCTCAGAGAGGCTCACAAAGGTATTTATGCCTCAGTGAGTCCGTGAACATCTCTTTTTCAAGGGGATGCAGACTGTGACAATATGACTCACTGAACACTAAAGCAGATAAGCAGGTATGGCAGGGCAGCAGAACTTGTGCTTGTAGACCCAGTAACACCAGGGAACTTGTTGCAGGACACAAAAAAAAAGAAAAAAAAAAAAAAAAAAAAAAAGAAAATAGTTTCTTTGGTTTAAGTCTTATTGAATTACATTGCTGGGGATTTCTTAGTACAAGAAACTCTTCAGTTCTTCATTTCAGCTACTCAGCAAAAATTAACTTGGTGCTTCCCCATTCTACTTTTAAAGATACTACTAGACAACTCAAAGCCATCCAGTTTACTTTTTCATCCTTATGGAAATAAGTGTTACTCCCTGGACATCATTTCACTTAAACAAAAGAAGCAAAGCAAATTATCACAAATAAAAGGTAAAAGATAATATTAAATTAATGTGTAAACAATATTATTCCAAATGTCAAGCTGATAAATTTGTTGGCCTGTAGCTGTAGAATAGTTATTCCTCAAATAGAGTGCAAGTACTCTTGTGAAGCTGACTTTCTTGTGAGCTTGACTTTCTGAAGTCTGCAAAATCTCACAGTGCTTGGCTTGTGTGTCTAAAGCTGAAGTTAGTCTCATGATTCAGACATTCAAATTTCTCTCTTAGATCCATGCTATGTGGTCTGATAAGACAGAGATACACAGCATCTCAGCAATTACAGTAAGAGAATTTATTTCTTCTAACTGAATATTTAAAGAAACATTTGGAAACACTATTTTAAGATCATCACACTTTTTTGGTTTGGGATGAAATCTATGTTGGCAATCACTTGGTGGAGGAAGATAGATAGCCTTTCCTTTCAGCATTTAGAATTTGACCTGAATACATTTCTATAATTTACTTTGCTGGGTTACAGAACAAGTGTTCTGTAGCCCGAAGATACTTTGATGTACAACATGATGTGGCCCCCTGCTGGAAAAATATTTTGTTACAAGAAGCAAAAAACAAAAACGCAAAACAATCCTGCTGATGTTTGCTTTGTGAAAATCCATCTGTAATGGAAAAAAATATTCTGTTAAGATTTTTCCCGCCTTTGTTTCGAGCACAAGCATGATTACATTCTGTTGTAAAATGTTCCTCTGACCCACATACTGCCCTTTTAGACATGATTATAACTTCCAGGGTTAAAATTTCTTTGTGCTTGGTGACAGATGAACAACTAAGTACATGTATGAATTTGCCATTAATTTATTTCTTAACTCAGGAAAACATAATCTGCCATGACTTTTCCTTTACACCTTTAGCAGCTGAGGGCACCTAACACCTTGCATGATTCCATGCTTACTCCTTTTATTACTTCCTCCCGTGGGACATTTTGTAAAATATTTTATTAAGTAAACCACTGCCAATCTCTGGTTTATCTGCCACAGTGTTTACTCAGCAATTTATGCTTAATTGAAAACTTTTTTCTCTTCCTTCAAATTGCTGGTAAAGCAAAGGGTGGGGGTTAGGAACAAAAGCCAAATTTTAAAGAAAGTAATGATCATTAGACCCACACCTCCCTCAAAAAAAAAACCCTGAATTTAAATTTAAATAATATAAATAATAGAGAAGCCAGTCTTAAACTGATAGCATATTTATAGGCATCAGTGTTTCAGAACTTATGTAAGAAACCTGAAAAGCTGAGCAGCAGTCAGCCAAACAATCTCAAACAACCTATATAAATAAAACTATTTGGATAGCACCTGTATACAAATCCAAACAAAACTTACATCTTAAATTAAGAAATTATTTAAACGTGCACTGAAGTCTTTCTCAGCTAAGACAATTAATTTACTTGATTTCAATACCGAATTATCTATTTAATTAATTAATATGTATTTCAATATCTACTTAACAACACACCAGCTCATTCTTGTGGCTTTTTTTCTTAGCAGCAAAGCCAAACAAATGGGGCAGAATCCTCTGTCCTAACTGCTTTTAACAGGATTGGTTCTATATTGGCAAAAGCAGAAAAAATATTAAAAAAACACCAACTGCTTTTTAAGGCAAATATCAAACACTGATTTTCCAAAACGTCTGCTTTGCAGGTAGTGATGCATATTAATAAATGAACTGGAAATCTAGTTTCAGTTTAGCCCTCTGCTTCTAAAGTCCATACAAAATAATATCAGTGGATTTAAAAGATTCAGGTATGTCCTGGAAAAAGAAAGGAACTTGGAAAGAACAGAAAGAAGGAGTGATGAAACAAAGAAATAATTTACAAGATGTTTATATTACACAAAGAGATAATAAGGAAAGAAATCAAAATAAATCTTATCCCTGATTCTTATGAAATGAAGCATAAGTTCTTATGCTTATATATATGCTTATATATATATAAGCATTAGAATATATGTCTTATGAACATAAGGCAAGTTCCAGAATTACATTTCTTCTGAAAAAAATATCTCTGCATATATAATTTAAATAATTTCATAAAGAATTTTATATGCTTTTATATGTATGCAAATAGCTATTTTTATATTTCTATATAAGTATTTCTAGATTTATATGACATATAGATGCCTTAAAAATATCTAATTCAAAAGAATTTTAAAAAATTCTTCTAGTCTACTACTTGCATAGTACAGTTTATACTACTACTACTTACATAGTACAATTCATACTACATACTACTTACAATTCATAAATAGAAAAAATTACAGGAAGAAGTGGATTAGTTTCATTGTGTTTCATTGTGTACATTGTGTACATGGGGCTTCAGATGATTACATCATTTTAAAAACATTAAATTCATTTTTTATTACTTTATAATCAGAATCTGACAGTTCTGCTTGGTTTTGGAAAAAAGGACAAAATTTTGCAATTTAGAACTCAAGACTATTGAAGAAGGATTATTACACAGGAAACAGGGAGGCCAGAGCAAAAAGAACACACTGTTCACTTTCAGAGGAAATCTTGGTCAAACCACAGTCTAAAGAGTCCCTTGCTTGGTTTTACCACATTCAGTGACAGCTATTCCAGTTAGAGATAAAAAACAGTGTTCATTGAGAATTTGTTGAGGGTTTATTACCAAACCTACCTCTAGGAATAATGAAAGATTCTAAAGTAGCATTTCCTCGTTTACAGATATAGCCTAGTTTCTTATCACATTCCCAGCTCTCCCACTTAGCACCTTTGCCAGGATTCAATGCACCACAGATTTTTCCAGGTTCTGGAGAAGGATGGCCTTAAAAAAAAACAAAACAACAAAATGAAAAACAGAAACCAAAAAACTACCACCACAAATCTCAGCAACAGAGTATAAGCACAACATGGTTACACTCCCAACTCTCATATCCCCTTCTGGTTTATTCTTCAACCATAAAATGCATTAACACATAGACAACTGTGGTAGTCCACAGTCCTTTAGCCTGAAGTGGGGAAGTTCATTCCCTTAAGAGTTAATTTTTCCACAGCAGCCATAAGTTGAAAATTCATAATTTAACAGCTTCTTCACATGTTCCATGTCCTGGTAGAAGGTATTACAGTGTATGTGTTTCTTTTCTTTGAATTTTTTTCCTTTTCTAAATGGAGAATGTCTAAGGTCCAGAGGACAGTCTTTAGGAAAAAAAAACTGTTCTGTAAGCTAGTCAAATTCTGTACTTGATATAAGAAAAATAATAAGTAATTATTTTGCTGATGTGAACTTCCTGCTTATTTGTCTAAACAGCATGACAATATTAAACAGCATGACAATATCAGAATATTTGTATATTTTTTGCTGTAGTTGGTTAGCATTAACACTAACAAAAACACCTAGAAGAAAAGTAGAACCTGCAGAACAGAAGAAATTTCAGCAGTAAACCAGGTGAACTTCTCATGATCTGACATACTGTCAATAAACTTAGCATGTTAATTTCTGACTCTACACCACTATACTACATAACAAGCATCAGTACTACACAGAATAAACACAGCAAACTAATATTTTTAGAGTCCAAGATTGTTCACTGAAATTCTCTTATACAATTATTATTTCATTACTTTAGATTAAATACAGTCTTATATTTGCAGTCATAGGAGAAATAGATATGCTTACTTCAAAAAATAATATTTTAAGTTGTTTAATTGCATGAAGAAGTTCAGCTATTGGCAGCTACCAATATCTAAGAAAAATTGGTTTTGCTTAAATATTGATAACAGTTCAATTTTTTTCTATTTATTTAGGGCTAAAGAGATAGGAAAGTATGAAGTTCCCACAAATCCCCTGAAAATGTGTTAATGGGAAAAGCCAGTTCTTTAACATCCAGTGCAAAGCAGATGAGACAGAGGGAGGCTGACCAACATAAAATCATGAAGGAGATAGCAAAAATGTAAAATATGTTATATGGACATAAGAGTAGAGTATTATCTTTGAATGAAATTAAGGAACGTAAGGAGTTCCTTTTCCATTTTTGTTACATCAAGCCCCATATTAATTTTTTAATTCTTTACAGTACAACTGAGAGTTGTCTGCAGTTTTAAGAACCATGAGCAGCATCTCTTGCTGCTTTGGCAGACCTATGAATACCTCCACAGCAACTTGCAGTTCTTCTCTTTGCCCATGTGCTCCCTCCACTGGAGAACTATTTATCAAGTAGTTCAATTCACCCTTCAGAGCTTACCTACTCAAAAAGTTTGTCCACCTAAAATGTGCTTTTGGTCTTCTCTACACAAAAAAGACCCTGGGTGATACACTGGAGCACACACAGTTACTGATGATTAAATTCTCAGTGAAAATAAAGAGCATTTACACTGCAGAACTTCAGACACCTACTTTAAATTAGTCTCCAAAAGCTCCCTGAACAGCCATTGCAAAGGAACAAGGCAAGAGTCCTGGCACTCTGAATAGTCAACCAGAGATGACTTCACCATATGAACAGATGGCAGAGAGACTTTTTAATGATGACACCAGAGTTCAACTCTGCAGCCACACCTGTGGAGTAGCTGGGCTTCCATCAAAGTAGTCTAGCCTCAAATGTTCAGTTTGATATGTGCTATAGTTGTGGGTAGGTTAATCCCAAATGAAAATGAAAAGCTGTTCCTCAAGCATATAAAAAAATTGAACATAAACAAATTGGAAAGGAATTTGAAGTAAAAAAACAAACAAAAAAACCCCACTGTTGATCAGTCTAATCTCACAAATGAAGACATCTACAGCACCTGATTTCTTCTGTATCCAGAAATAAAATAGATTAGGAAGATATGCAAATAAAGCATCAACAGATGACTTAAAATTTTCATATGGATTTTGAGGCTACCATTTCTAATATGAATAATAAATTAAGCCTGGTGCATATCCCTAGCATAAGGGCCATTACTCACAGTGTTTATAACCACAATCAGAATCTTTCAGCATCAAAACAAGCTCAATAACTGCAGGAGAATAGAGTGCTAGGAACAGATATTTGTTACACAGTGACCAGATTTTTGTGCTTTGAACTGAGTAGCAATGAATTTAACCTTACCTGGAACCCAGTTTAAGTACCGAAAAGGAGCACCACCAACCCACTGCCATCCACTGTTGAAATTCAAACTGTTAAGACCAAACCAGAGAGCTGAGCTCAGTGTGCGAGTCAGACCTGGGCAACAGAGACAGAGAGAGACATTGCAAGTCCACAGCAAGAGCAAACACTCCTCAAAACTTGAGAGCTGAATTCTAGTTAAGCCTTCTCCTTTTTCCTTGTACAAGTTTTAATAATTTTTAACATTCTAGTTAAGGTGGTTATGCTAAACCTGAAAAACAGGTCATCTTACATTGGTCAGTTTTGTTTCAGAGTTTTGATCTATTTAGGTTTGGAGAATTTTATCACAACAGAAAACAAAACTCTGCTACCACTGATCACAAACATGAAACTTTTTCTTTTCAGAACTATAAAATATTAAATGGATAAAGTTGCATAAAAGGTCACAAAACCAAAAATCAGTTTTCTAAAATGATAGATATAGTTTCCCAGCATTTATTTTCTTTTCCATAAAATTAACAAGCATGAATTTCACAGTGTAAAAAAAACTGTCCTCATTTATCAAAATACATTAAAATGCAATCATTTAAAACATCATCTTTTTAACAGTATATCTTGTGCATTTTTCAGACTGATCTGATTTCAGTTCTTTAGCCAATGATAAGTCAAGCTTCAAAAAAAACCAGTTCAAATTTATTCCTCTAGCTCTGAAAAGCACTTAGAAATATCATGCTTATGTATGGCTCTGCTGAACTTTATTCATAGTCATTACCAATCAATTGTCTATCTCTGCCCTCAGTGTAAGGCTTGGAAGCACAGCTGGATGCCTGCTGATTTTTTTTAATTTAAGTGTGTTTCAGCACAGTTCACAGAAAATCGCTGTGCAATACATATAAAATGTTTCTGCTTCTACTGATGGCATCGTGCCAAGGTGTGGCAATTTGTAGCTGTCTTTGACACCACCGTGAGGGGCAGCACTCGAAACACAGAAAAGTTAAAAGGAGAGGTTGTTGGCTGGAAAGGATGGGAATCTTAGATCTGATTCTGCACCAACACATTAACATGCTTTATTATTTCTTCTGGACAATTTGTGGTTAGAACAACTGAGAACTGAGCATGACAAGAAATCCTAGTACTGCCAGGGTAGTGGCATAATGAAAAACTGATCTTCACATACATTTAGCCACCATATCTATCAGTTTGCAATTAAAACACATCAACTAATAACTACCTTCTGTGTCAGCACCAGTTTACTCACTTGAGCACTAATTTCAACAATAATTTTCTCACAGTGATTTTAAAAACAACCCATGTTTTGACCAAATCTTTAAATTGAAAACAGTTTAGACAGAAGAAATTGTTCATAGCATTAAAAATACATTTTTCTCATTCCTCTAAAGTGGAGAAATGTAGATTTGATTGATGGACTACTAGATGGATAAGGAATTGGCTGGGTATCTGCATCTAAAGCCAACAGCTTAGAGTCCAAATGGAAACCAGGAACAAGTGGTGTCCCTCTAGGGTCTGTATTGGGATCAATATATTTAATGTCTCTGTCAGTCACACAGACAGTGGGATTGGGTGCCCTCTCAGCAGGTTTGCAGATGACACTCAGCTGAGTGGTGTGTTTGGCTCACGTGAGCAATGGCAGCTCCTCTGACCGGCTTGAGGAGCAGGCCCCTGACAAACACATCAAGTTCAACAAGGCCAAGCACCAGCTCCTAGCCCTGGGTCATGGAAATTCACAATAACAATATGGGTTAGGGGATGAATGGATTGAGAGCAGCAGTGCAGAGAAGGACTTCATGGTACTCGTGGATGAGAAGCTGGACATGACCTGGCCATGAATGCCTGCAGCCCAGAAACCCAAACATGTCCTGGGCTGCATCCAAAGCAGCGTGGCCTTCAGGGCAAGGGAGGGGATTCTGACACCCAATCCTTCTCTGCTGAGACACACTTGGAGTGCTGCATTCAACTGTGGGGTCCCCAGTACAAGAAAGGCATGGAGCAAGTCCAGAGGAGAAAGAAAGAAAATTCATCAAAGGGCTAGAACATCCCTCCTGTGAAGAACTACTGAGAGAGCCAGGGCTGTTTAGGCTGGAGATGAGAAAGCTGTGGGGAGACCTTATGATGGCTTTTCAGTATATGAAAAGGACTGCTAAGAAATTTGGAGGAAGACTTTTTACCAGGACTTGTAGTGACAGGACGAGGGGTAATAGTTTAAAAGTGAAAGAGGGTGGATTTAGATTGGATATCATGAAGGCATTTTTTACAATGTTGATGGAACAGATTGCCCTGAGAAATTGTTGATCCTCATCATTGAAAGTGTCCAATGTAAGGTTAAGATGGGACTTTGAGCAACCTAGTCTAATCCATGATGTCCCATGCCATGGCAGAGAGGTTGGCCTAGATAATCTTTATATGTTCCTTCCAGCCCAAACCATCTTCTAATCCTCTTATTCTACAAATTTAAAAAGTACAACATATAGCTTATAGTATAGAATATTTTGTCTTTCAACTGATGTAACATATTCAAAATATTTTCTATTCTATTTAATAGATGATCAGTGGACTATTTCATGTTTGTACACAGGCTGAGAAGGAAATAACGAAGACTTTCTCAATGTAGAATCCAAATACATTCAGGTAAAATTTAAGAATTTACTCATAGGAGAAGTGTGGAAACTCCTTCCAAAAACATTGAAGGAGATTGAAACTAAAAGAGAATATTTATAAGTCCTTTTGTTTTTTAGTTCTTTTTCTTTTCATATTTTAGGACATACTGAAGATGCAATGGCTTTAGTGAAATAGGTAAAACTACTGACTAATACACACTACAAGAAGAATATAAAAAGGATGCAATCTTGGTATCTACATCTTCAGTTTACAAACTACTTTGCAATTTTCTGCATTCCAACATTCATTCTTTATTGCATGCATTACTTAATTGTTGTATTTCTTTATAGTATTATTAGTTTATGACAATATTTAATCATGATAAAATAAATAATATCTGTCCTATATTTCCAGATGAATCATTCATTATAACAATATCAATTTACTCATTAGAATTGAACAAATACGATCTTCAAGATGGAACATGCCATATTAGTGTCATTCTTGCAATAATACACTTTTTAAAAGAAATTATGGATAATTTTAACCTACCTGTCAGATATGTTTGTTCATGTAACTCTGTGATGCTTAACAACTCTGCCTTCTGCTGCTGACAGCTTTTTCTTGCCTGATGCCATTTCAGAGCTGCCTCAGAGTTTATCTGGTACTGGACATTTGTTAAAGGGTCTGTGCTCCAGAAATCACTACTAGAAACTATAGGGAGAAATGAAAATGCTCATGAAAACAGAACCAGATAAAATATACCAAAAAAATTGCATAACAAAAGACACAAAATGCCTGAACGCTGACAAATGGTTAGAAAGGAATCCTGAAGCTCTCTAATGTAACAGTAGATCTAGGACAGAAGATATGGAATGAAACAAAGTCACCATTTTCTGTGGTACAACAAATCTGCTGTTTAAGGTAAATAATAAGTGGTTAAAATGTGCTAAAATAATTGATTTGTGAATGTGGAGAAAAAGACTAAAAAATTCCAGGATGATGCTAACTAAGGTGTATATCAAGCTGACCATTTTCCTGAGATAAACCCCAATTTTTTTGCTAATTTGGGTCACTATGTAAGGTGGCTGTGGATTTTCTTACTGTGATTGTGGTAATCAGACCCAAGTGCCGAATGCAAAGCTGACTTCATCAGCATCCATCTCACATTTTCCTGCAATTCCTGATTTCTTAAGCATGTGTCTGACATTGCATGACTTTCTCCTCTGCCACATAGCCTGACTGAACTCCTTGAATACCCAGACTTGGCACTTTTAGGTAATGCCATTGAAAGCATTATCCAAAAGCTCTCCACATTAGAAATTGCCCCAGAAGGTACCACACTCTACACTGCTGAAGTCTATCCTGGCTCATCTCAATTGTGTCTCCACAAACAAGCGACAAAAAACCAGTGTGATCTTGATCTGCCAAAAATGGAACCTATGTGAGGTCCAAAACTGAGCTAAACACCACATAAAGAACTAAAGCAGAACACAGCAGAGATTACTAAATGTCTGCCAACAAGGAGAATACAACTGAATTCCTGAAGCATTTATCAGCTTCTTAAGTTGCAAACTGAAAAAAATTGAGAGAAAAATTTATGAATTCTTATCTGAATTCTGAGTGCTTAGAAAACTTCAGTCTGTAAATAGAGGGAAACAGTACAATAAACAAAAGTCAAAACAAAGCGTGATACATGTTAAATATCAAGAGGTAACTTGCCAGTTCCACTTTTTCCTGTATTATATCTGATTATCTATAGGTAATATAAAGTGCTTCTTTTCACATTATCTCTATTTTTAAAAGAAATCAAATATAACCTACTGTAATAATGACATTTCAGTAAAAATGGAAACTTCCATCTGATTATCATTATCCACAAATTGACTTCTGTCCAAAATATTCTATAACTATCAGAATCAAAACTTATTTGCTATCTTAGGCTCTAAAATACCATAAATCCCTGTGCACAAGCCTGTGATAAAATTAATATTGCAAAAATAGTAAAATCCATAATTCAGTAAAGAAAACTAGCTCTGACTTGATAGTAAGAGGTTTCTAAATCTTGTTTAATTTTTACAGAGAAGAGATAAACAAGCCTTGGGCATTCATCCAACCTTCCACCTCATTTCCCCAGTCTCATAATTTATAGCTGACTTCCATATGGTGCTCTCTTGTAGAATTTTGGCCTTTCATAAAAATCAAACTCATTTCTAAATCTTGAAAATTTGCTTATAAGATGCTTGAGTTTTAAGAGTTCAAAAGTCTTTGCAGATCAAGATTTTGGAAAAATCTATATGCTATTGTTTAAAGCTCAGTTGCCCAGTGAAACAAAAAGATGAATCACTTTCCTGGAATAATATATTTTAGCATCTAAGCTAAATTAATGTTAAATCACACCTCTCCTCAGTACATAAGTAGAAAATTAATAAAAATCTGAACTCTGTCTCCACACAGATGAATTCAGCATGCATTTACTCTCTGCAGTTTTTGTTTCTGTCCTAATCACCTGCATTTTCATGCATTGCTTAGAGGGTTTTCTGAATCCTTCACTAGATATACAGCTCCTTCATCTGTCAAGAAAAAGGCCTCAGTGGACTATTTCCCACTGGAACAGAGCTATAGGTACACCTTGAGTCACTGTCCTGATGGTCTTACACTGTGCAACTTGTTTTCTTCCCCAACACCTTCTTTGAAGTGCAGCATACAGTTCAAAAATATATGGTGTAACCCATAAAGAAGCAGCATTTCCTAGGCTACTAAGAATTGTTTGCTGTAGCAATACTGCTTAGTTCCTTTCTTTGGGGTTTAAGCTTCTGCTGTTACTGTCTCAGCATCTCTTTCCAAATCACCAAATAAAGGTTCATAATCACAATTATGTCATCTCCACTGATAAAATTTGTCCACCCTTATTGATTATAATAACTGTTGCAAGTACAGCCTCATGCTCTCTTCATTTTGGAGAACATTTGAGGTGCTTTTGGTGACAGTGGGAAGTAACTGGGTCAGCCACAGAAATTTCACTGAAGGTCCTGGCCCCAGCATGAGTGGCTGTAATGCTTTGCATCACATATTTTCATGCTGGCACCCTTGGTCCCCTGGACAGTTTAAGAAACTGCCCTTCTTGGTGAATAAACTTTAACACACATAGACTTAAAACTTCTATTTTTAAAGGTGTTGATGAAGTTTATTAACTTATCACACTTTCATATCTCACTCATTTCTCTTTTGTAGGGATGACTAAAACTTCTGCTACCATGGCCTGTCTCTCACTAAAATATAGGACCCAAACTTGAGCATTTTATAGCCAGTACTAAAAATCAGGAAGGGGAGTATTCTTAAGTCAACTTTGCATGTGATTTATTAATGGGATTGATATTCCCAGAATGTTTTTATTAACTGGAAAATGATACTGGCATAAGAGAAACAAAAATTCCAATTTTTATTTGTCTGAAATACTGAATGCAACATTCATGGAAATCAGGCAAGGACACGAGTATTTTGTCATCAAACCAGTTAAGATCAACCCAAACAGTTGTCTTCACATCTAAGGAAACACTTATTTTTCTCCTTAGCTCTGCTTGCAGTCAGCTGGAGCTTTAGAGCAAAGCACAATAATAAAGAAGAAAGGAGGGAGAAGTACTACCCTTCTCAGCATGACAGAAGAAGCAGCTTGCAGACAGCATGTTTAGTACATATTGTACAGAGGTCCAGAGAAAGTTCATTAAAATTTAAAAGAATTCAAATGCATGCAGGCATAAATTACTCCCATTTACTTAAAGATGAACATTTCTAAATAAAATTCTGCGTATTGATAATGCTGCATTTTAAACACCAATTATATTCAAACCAGGGAATTTAGAATACAAATACTTCTAATTGAGTTAAAAGACAGAATTAAAATACAGTACACAGATTTGGGAAACACTGGGATGTACTAAAGAGTTCATGAAAGCTTCTTCATGTCTAAAAGGCATTCTCCAAAGTCATTTTAATTTTCAATTAGACTATATTCTAGCTTTCAGTTCCACTTCACAGATTTCTACTTTTTGACCTTTTATATATATTACTTGTCCTAATGTAACATCTTTACATCTAATTGACTTTCTATTTAAGTAAATGGTGTATGTGGAGATTCCAGACTATGATTAACATGCTTTCACAAAAAATAATTGGACAATGTTTTTTATGCTGAGTCCTATATTTGGACATTTATGTAGCTCTTAAAAGGAAAGCAGGTTAAACAGAGACAGAAACAGAACCATTTCAAACTCTAAAGCACAAGTTATAGACATATTTCCAGGCAGCTGAATAACAGCACAGCAGAACCATGAATGTAAAAAGCTTACATTTCGTTGGGCAAAATCCATACTTCTTGTCAACATCATAGTCCGAGGTGGTTCCACACCAGAACCAGCCATCTGATCTGCCAGAATCTGTGCAGTCAGCATACCATTTACCACCAAACTTAAAAGGAAATACACAAGGGGCTCCATTGTCATTTCCTTTCACTGTGTAAGTATCTAAGGAGACACAAGAGTTAAAAAATGTATAAAATCATTAAGCATGGGACATATAAGAGTCCATCTTTATGATCTTATTACAAATTATTATAGCAAGGAAAGCTTGTATATAACTATACTAGAAATGGAACATTGATCATTTTACTCTAGGTCTAAGCTGATACCCACATTCACAGTGAGGCAAATTTTTGTTGCTAAGGGAGACAATAGACCACAACTGACTGAGCCAAGACAAGTAAATTCCCATGCTAAATTTCCCATGTATAACAATCAAAAATATGAAATTCACACACTTATGCAATTTCTTAAAACAAAAGACAGTTGGGTGTTCTGTCAATAACCCAGTCAACTGCTGATCATTTTGGACATGGAAGAGCATGTACAAGTAAACTTGGAAGATATATACCATGGAGTGACTCCAATATATTATGCCCAAATAAATTTTATGTTTTCATCTAAAGACACTTCTTGTTTTATCAGAAACCTGACTCAATGAAACTTAAAAAAGCAACTAAAGCAGCTTTCTGTGTGTGCACATGAAATGTACATTCACTGATGGAAGGACATACAGGGGAGCTGTACCTGACAAGGATTTTTGGAGAGGTGACATACCAGGGTCACTGTCTCACAGAGCTGCTAGAAAACAGGGGAGGAAGAAGTAGCAGGACATTATTACATCTTCCCCCTGCCTTCTTTTACATAATTTGCTTTGCTAGGGTTCTTCTATTCTGGCTTCTGGCCAATGATTACTACTGTAATCAGCCATGGTGTAAACCACAGAAACTGCATCCATACCTCCCTCTGTGACCATTTCTGTTTATCAAAGAACACTAAATGGGAAATCAAATCTAGTATTTCCAGATACTTATCATGAATATATGTAGAGATATATTATACATAACTTTTTTCAAATTTAACTATTTAAAATATCTTATTTCTTTGTCTAACATTTTAGCACCAACTCTGAGACTCTTTTCAAACCCCTAGGAAGACATCTGCAATACATTGGAAATTAATATATCAACAGTTAACTAATATCTTACTGCCAATTAATATTTTCACCCCAAGGAAAAAAAAAATATAACCAACAAACTAAACACTTACACTACGTCTTTCTGCACACATGTAGCAAATAGTAAAAGCTGTCATCAGCTGCTCTGTAATAGTTATACACATGTTTTGAATAACCACAGAAATATTTATTCTCTCCAAATGAATTGCTACCATGCATGATTAATCATCTATCAGCACTTTGACAAGTTTGACAAAAACCAAAACTACTCAAAAGACAAAAAGCGCTCTTACTCAAGTATTGTTGATTTCACCTGAATTCATACTCACTGATCTTTAATAAGATTAAGGAAATCCTTCTATACATATAAAATATTTTAATTATCTACACATAAAAATGAGTTTGAAATGCAGAAATTAATTTACAGAACTTTACCTTCATAGCCTCGGGAACACAGATCGTCTGTGGTTCCGTAGACTTTCCACCTACTCCATGAACCAGATCCCTTGTACAGCATAATATTCCTTTCCTGTTTGTTTCCATAGTTGAAAAACAAATCTTCCCCTTGGATTGCAAAGAGAGTCTCATTTCTGCATTCCCATCGCTGAAGTTCGCTAGCCTTGTCACAAGGATACAGAGTGATCGGAACCCAGTCTTTCTTCGAAGGCACTCCCAAGCACAATTTGAATGCTATGCTCATAAGCTGGTGACCTGAGACCCACCTGAATTTTTGTGACTCATTTTCTTGAACACAAGGAGCAGTAGTCACTGAATTAGAACTTTGAGCCAGTACACAGCGCTTGTGATCTTCATTATATATTAAGAAGATGCTAGTATCTGTAAGAAAAAGAACACTGGAATGATTTGGGTTGAAGTAACCTTAGCTACTATCTAAATGAAGTATGAATCTGGACACTCCTCCTGGTGTGAAAATCTCATCATATGCTCAGCAAAAGAAGGTGTGAACTACACCTGTTAAAGTGGCTGTATGATGCAAGCAGTTCAGATGTGAGGACATTTCAACTATTTTGTGTCAGTGAAAGCATCAACACACAAAAGCACAAGGCAGCAGAGGTATAGACCTAGTGTCTGTCTCCTGTAGGTTTAAAGCATGGGTTAAACTGAAGAGAGAAAACAACACTCATGGTGCTAATCCAAGCTGCAGCCATGGGAATTACTGAAATGAGGAAACACGGACACTGTAGAGAGCAGATCCTGACACTGAACCCTCCAGCAGCGCTGGCTCCCAGGCGTGGGGAGATGACAACAGTCATTAAGTCCTTCAGGCTCCATTTCCTTACAGTGGGGGGCTCTATTCTCAAAAGCCATGCTGAAATCTCTGAAGTATTAATGAGGAGAAGGATATGTTTTTAAGCTTTATACTCAAGCTTCTTGTAGAACATATTTATTTTTCACTTCAGTCTTCAGTGACTTCTTTCTTGCATCTCTCCATTATGAATGAAATACCAACAGCCGTGGGATTTGCCATCACCAGTTATGCCTCTTCATGACTTACAAAAATATACAAAGCTCTTCATAGCTTCCCAGGTTATTTCTCCCTCTTAGTAAACAGTGCTTCACAGCATGCATTTTCATGAGTTCAAGGCTGATTTCAGAATTGTAGCCACTTGAAAAGTTTTTAGCATCTTTTGCACTTAGATGTGCTATGGAGTGTAACATTTCTGAGCTGATCTTCCTGAAAGACTGAAAATTTCTCCTCTCTGATCCACCTGAGATACATTTTAACACAGTAACTTAATCACGCTCTTTTGCATAAGGCAGCAGGATGCACAACATTTTAAAGCTGTATTTTAGCTCAACTATGAGCTAGGAAAGAGAAATATTAATGTGACTCTGGGGATTGAAGCTAATTAAAATACTACTTATTTTAATGTATGATTACCAAACTAAACAAATTCTATAATGGAGAAATAGTAAAGGGGAAAACAGGTTAACCACAGAAAGTCTTCCCTTCTTTGCTGAGGCTTTAATGTGGAAATGATCATATTTTTCTGCAGAAGAACAATCTGGGAACAAATAAACTCTCTCAGAGAAAGAGCTGACCTAGACCTATCTCATCTATAGTTCAGCTTCCTTCTCTTGTTGTTTGGCTTCCACTTTACTGGGAAGTAATGTAAAACTGATGAGCACTGGAGGCAGAAATTGTCATCTTTCGCCAATCTGTTTTACTCACAGACAATACAAGGAAATGTATAATTATCACTGCTGGTGACAACTTCTTTTTATTCTGCTTTTCTACTAGAATTTAGCACGATGTTATTATGAACTGATATATGCAGTGCTTGCAACTCTCCTGTTCCTGAAATCGTGTTAAAAGTTTCTGGATAAAAGAGATGTCAATTTCACATGTGTAGAACACTACCTGACTTTTCAAACTGCTAAAATTGTATCTGTGGCCTAAAATAACAGTCCTTATTTTCTGGTTCTTCTGGTGTTAAAGAGAAGATGCTGCACACGTGAAAAAAGGATCCCTAAGTCAAAAGGCTGGATTTCTGCATCCATGCATGAGAGTGTGCAGAATTTTGGCTTCAGAAATGAAGTTATAAAGCTGAACAAAGTGGTGTGGTCAGTGGGGATGGAGAGGGAGACAAAACTTAGGCTCTCTGCTATTCTGATGGTGCTTTTACAAAGCATCAGAAGCGTGTAAACCCAACACACCTGCTTATACGAGGGCATATTCCAAATGCAGGGAGCAGTACATATGTAAGCAGCTAAAAGGCCAGCACAGCCAAGGAGGCAACAAAAATAAGTTGACACCAACGCAGGAGAATAGAACAAGATTCTATAAGTAGGATGCTGGAGCAATTGTGGCTGAGGTTGTAATTGCAGGATTTCCTTTCCCTCAGTGTTGCTCCTCTCTAGCCCATGGCCATGGAGCAGACTTAGTGCTGCACTGCTCAAGTTTACACCTTTAGTTCTCTTTATTCTGCTGTCTTGGTCACCAAAGGGGATTCCCATGTAATAGTGTCTGTGTGAATAATTAGATAATCTAGAAGAAACAAGCCAGGTATTTGTGCAGTACTTCCTTTGCCCTGCCAAATCCTCTTTGTAAACACTTGATACCACTCTTGCCAACATGATGAGCTGTGTCTGTAAAATGGGCTGAGCAGAATCACACATATCACTGCTAGCTGTGCTCCACTGTTCTGTAGCAACATTTGTTACAGAGCTCCATAACAAGTGCTGTTCTTCACTACAGATGAACCGTGGGTGGAACACTGTTAAGGTCCACCACAGTGCGCTCATGAGTACCCCAGTGTTAGTACTTTGAATTAAACCTATTTCTAACAGTAATTCATATTTTGAAACTTACTCCTGGAGGGAAGGTCTTTAAGATGCATAAGAACGTGCCAGGCTTAGGAAACAACTTCACCATTACCAATGCACAACCAGCCATTCAGGGAGATCTAGCATCTTTTCCCTCAAATGTCCCAAGTAGATCCCAAAAGAATTCTTCCAACAGGCTTTCATTTTTCTTTACCCACCACACTGTGACTATTTGCTTATCTATCTCTGGCCCCAAGTTGTATCTTAAGAATTGTGCCAAGTACTGCAGAATCTCACCTGACAGTATCATTTCCATGGTAGAGATTTCCAGTATGCCAAGCTGGCTTCACACTCTGCAGCATTTGCAAACCATCACAGATTTTGTGAGTATGAATAAAAAAGTAATTTGTGAAGCCAGTGAAGTGCTACAGAGAGCATCAGAAGAGCACATCAAAAGCAAAAGAGGAGGGAGCAAAGAGGCAGCAAACAGGTAGGACGGACGACTGTCTTCTCTACACAGACTCTTGCTTACCAGATGGCCTAAACTGATTGCTGCCAATTACACAAAGGAAGAAAGGTTACAAGGCAGTGTTAGGAAGATTTGCATCGCTAGATCTCCATCTAGAGAGGAGAGCATGCTGCGAGGTTTTCAGGAAGGGCAGGTGCAAAACTTTCACTGAAAAATAACTGTGACCTGGCAATCATGGTAAATCTCAAAGTAAGTGGGAACAAACTCCATGTATCACCAAGCAACATCATTTTCCCATTTTGACACCTCTCTCCATATCAGCGCCTCAGCTACCTTAAATGTAGCTTTGTACCCCACAAAAGCCATCTTCCAAAAGAGGGGCCCATCCAAGAGGACTGGAGGACAGGCACAGCCCCAGTAGAAGGCATTTCTGCAAACCTCTGTGGTGAACAGGTCTGTGAGGGAAATCTGGGTGATGATATAAAATCAATCGGGGATCAATCGGAGCGGTGGGGGAAACTGAGGCAGCGCCGGTGACTGCCCTGTTCGGCGTCCACAGTGCCGTGGGCACTCAAAAGGCCGCCCTGACAGGCAGCTTTGCCCACGGGGCACCTGTGGGTGCGGGTGAGGAAGGGGTCCCGAGGGGAGGCCGCCTCCATCAGCCGCCCGCCCGCCGCCGTGGGGGCTGAAAAGCTCTTGGGCATCACCTGCGCCAGCGCGCCTTCCCCCGCAGCCCCCGGGCAGCTTCGGCTCTGTGTCCGCCGTGACCCCTCGTTTTTTGGCTCTCCTGACCCCCAGCCCCCGCGGGCACTTACCCAGCAGCGGAAGGGCCCGGGGCAGGAGTCCGAGGAGAAGCAGGAGCAGGGAGCGAGCCATGGCCGCGGCTCCGCCCGTGGCGTCCCGCCGGGCAGCTCCGCCGCGCTCTGAAGGGCCGCTGGATCAGGGGAAAACCCTGCGCTCCAAATGATAAGGAAATATCCTGTCACATGGGGCGTTTTGAAATAACAGGAATTCGCTGTTCAAACTTTGCTTTCCTAAGCTGATTTTTTTCCCTTAGCGGAGGAAAGAGCCTCCTTCCAGGCATGTGCAGGTGATGAAGCGGTGATAGCCGAGAGGAGCGCTGCTTTTTTTGTTGTTGCCGTCGTGTGCGGTGTTTGGTTTTTTCTTGTATCCCCTTTGCGACTCTGACAGCGTTGCATCTGGGTCAGTGGTTTGTCTTCCAGGAAAATTAGCCAACCCCGCTGCGAGGGAGGAGAAAATCCCTCTCCTTTTCTTCTGGGGTAAGGAAAGAAGGATAAGGGGTAAGAAACCCAAGTCTCAAAGAAAACTCCTGCTGGAACGCCCGGGTTGCTCCCCAGAGCGAGGACTGCAGAAGGAGCAGAGACCTCCTTTTGGGAGCCCGGGATCTGGGCTGCCCGTCCCCATCACTCCTCCCCCGGGTACCAGCAGGTCGCTCCGCTCAGGGCTGCTGAGGAGGAGCCGAAGGGCACGAGGGGGCTAAAGAGCTCTAAGAGACATTGTCTGAAGTCAAATAAATGAACTTCAGCCGATTTGTTTGTTTATTTACTCTACTGACAGCGATGGCTCTATCTGCTGTTAACAGGACTCAAATCTTGCTCGTGAACCAGTGCGGGAAAGACAAAACCTTGCCTGCAAGCTGAGCTTCACAAGCTGAAGCACCTGCCTGGAATTAAATGATATTTCTGAAAAGGTGCCTTTAGAGCACAGTCTGCCTTGATGTTCTTACAGCTTCTTGCTGTCCTGGATACAGAGCAGCATGTTATTTCCTCGAGATCTCTATCAATATACAGTCTGAAGAGTCCCAAATGGATTGAAAACATCAGTCTTATTGTTGTTTCACATAGAGAAGCCTTTATAACATATGGGACTTACTGGGTATTTTGATGAGGCATAGATGAGGCTCAGGGAGCACCTTACTGCTCTCTACAACTCCCTGGAAGGAGGGCTTAGTCAGGTGGGGGTTGGTCTCTTCTCCCAGGTAACGAGGACAGGACATGAGGAAGTGGCATGAAGTTGCACCAGGGGAGGTTTAAACTGGATATTAGGAAAAATTTCTTTCCTGAAAGAGTGGTCAAGCACTGCAACAGGCTGCCCAGGGAAATGGTGGAATAACCATCCCTGGGAGTGCTTAAAAATGTGGAGATGTGGTGCTTAGAGGCATGATTGTTGGTTGGCTTGGAAGTGCTGGATTAATGGTTGCACTCAATGATCTTAGAGGTCTTTTCCAGCCTTAAAAATTCTATGATTCTATGAACCTATAAGGCATTAAACCTACCATATGTATAAAGCCTGTTGTGCAGCAGGTTGTACCCCTGTGCTGTCATGCACTTGGAAATCTCTGATAAGGATTAAAAAATTGTCAAAATCCTTCATGATGGAAGTTCTGTGTGGGAAAGTCCAGCACATCCAGGGAAACATCGATATGAGATTACTGTGGAAAGAGGCAGAGCAGAGTAAAAAGGTGGTTTGACACTATTGTAAGATTGAACAATAAATGAAGAAGAAACAACAGAGATGAAAAACAAGGTCATTTGAAGTCAGTGGAACTCCTGTTAACATTGGAAAGAATTCCAGCCAGGCACTTCAGCTGTGCTGGGTCCTCCTGGGGGCTATGTGAGGGGAGTAAAGAGGAAGTGGTTCATAATTTGTCTCAACATCTGTAGAACCACAAAAAGGTCAGGAACAGCCTGGCCGAGGGACAGGAGGTGGGAAGTATTTCAGCCATAATCAGCAATGTTCTGTATTGTTGTGTTGATGAATTGTCATGTGGGAAACTTAATCTCTTGCTGTAGTGTATGGGAGATATTTATTTTTCCCAAATTATTTGCAAAACTCAAAAGCCCAGGAAAAAATCTAGTGCTAAAAGGAACAAGTCAGATGCTGCTGTCCTAATAGAGCACTGCTATTTCTAAGATTACCACTGAAAGTTTGGGTATTTGTGCTATTCTTTTGGCTCAAGATAAACAGAGAAGGGAGATGCTGTGTGAAGTTGAGTCTTAATATAAAATAATAAAACTGCCACCAAAGTCTTTTCATGGTTATGTAAAGACTGAGCATGTGATGATTATGTGCAGGAAAGGCTGCATGTAACTTAAATGAATATATGTGTTGCACAAACAGGCAGGAAAAGGGAAATAAGAAAACTAAGAGTGATATCTCTTTGGCTGTCAGTGGCTGTATGAGGAATGAGCTATACTCTGAAGTGACAGAAGAAACTGTTTTAGGCTATTCTTGGAGTTCTCAAAACTGAACAGAACAAGATGCTGGGCAACCAGATCCAAGTCAGCCCTTTTTACAGAGGAGGTCATGCTAGATGGTCATGCTAGGTCTCTTCCAATCAAAATGAGACTTCAGAACTACTTCCAAGAGAAGTATTCCAGCCTCCCTTCCTGATCTGAAAACTGCCTTTTTCTCATTTTCCCTTACACTCACTGGATGTACTGGAGATATTAACAGCTCAAAGCCATTTTGACACAGTCATATGCAATACACACATGTATGTCTATGTGTGTATACATATGTCTTCACATTCCCCCTGTCTAGAGCAGCACAGGTCTTGATGAGCTTATTCACGTAGCCTCTGCGTCTCCTCTGCAGCACACTCATCAGTAATTATATCTGGATCTCTCTTTCATCATGAAACATATATTCTGATCATACAGTCAAAGGGAAAGATTTTCTCTCTTCTGAGACAAAATAATTCAGCAAAGTCTCAGGCTGTAATGATTTGCAGGCAAAAAGTTACCAAAAGCTCAATCTGCTAAATAACTAATGACAGGGTACATGTCCTAGATAGACATATGTTTTCATCTTTCCCGTGGGTAGGAAGCCAGCTGACATTTACACAGAACAGAAAGGCTTGAATTCCTCTGAGACAGGTCAGACCCCCTTTTCGGGTGGCACATCCAGTTTTTGCAACTGGTCATTCTTCCTGACAAAATACACTGAAATCCTGAAGCCACAGTGGCCCTTGACTTTTATAGCAGACTGGAAAATGGAAAGTTCAGTCCTAAATGAAATGATAACCAGACTTGAAACATAATGCCTGTATTGTATATGTGGGAGAAAAACAAGTGGATTACTGTCCATGATTTTACATTTGCATCCAAGATGTCTTTTGATATTTCCTGTGGGAACCTGTATCTCTCAGATAGTATTAAATGGTTATCTACACATTATTAATATTTGCATGGGTGATGCAGTGGGTTACCTGCAATGGAAGCCTAAAACCATTTTTGTATATCATTAGTCATCCCAGAGTATTTAAATAACGTTCTCACACTACTGAATGATTTGGGAGAGAGAGCTTTCTAGAAGATTGTACTGTTATAAGAAGACAATTGAAATTAGACACTGTACTGGTTTTGATTTGGATAGAGTTAATTTTCTTTGCACCAGCTCAGATGGTGATATGTTTTTGGGTTTCTGGCCAAAACAGCGCTGTTTTGCTGAACAGTTTTGCACAGCCTGAAGGCCTTTCCTGCTTCTCATGCTACCCCATCAGTGAGCAGGCTAGGGTGGGCAAGAAGCTGGGAGGAGACACAGCCAGGACAGTTGATCCTAAAGGACCAAATTGATATCCCACACTCCGTGATGTCACGCTCCACCATAAAAGCTGGGGCAATGAGAAGGAAGGGGGCACATTCAGAGTTACGGTGTCTGTCTTCTCAAGGCCCTGATTTCCTTGGGAAGTAGCTGAACACCTGTCTGCTGCTGGAATGTAGTGGAAAAATTCCTTTTTCTTGTTTTGTTCATGCAGCCTTTTGCTTTCCCTATTAAAATGTCTTCATCTCAACCTACGAGTTTTCTGACTTTCACCCTTCTGTTCTCTCCCCCATCCTGCTGCAGGAGAGTGAGCAAGCAGCTGTGTGGGGTTGGGCTGCCAGCTGGGGCAGAACTACAACAGACACAGACTAAAACATTATTTATAAAGATAGTTTCAAGAACTTTTGCTATTCTGTACATTCTAATTAGTAATTAGGAGTGAGAGAATTTTTTTTTCATTTAAACCAGAAACTTTGAGGATAAAAAGGAGTTAAAAGCTAAGAGGAAAATCATAGAAAAATGGACAGAAATCTTGAATTTTCTCAAAGAATTTTCAATGACAGTCAAACTAAATGTATCTGTCAAGATGAGGCAAAGTTGTTTAGTTCATACAGTGTTGTGTATGAACTAAAAGAGCCAGGACACAAACCTGTGAATGCTGGGTGTGGATCAACAGCCACTGCAGGTTATTTAAAGTGTAGCTGAAGCTGAATCAGACACATTTCCTCCATACAGGAGCTAGTAGAAGGAAGGTTTAGGAACGCTTTCAGCACTTTTTCATCTCACTTCTTGCTTTGCAAGGCTTAAGCTCATCTTGTTGACTTCTGCAAGCACACAACACAGCTAATAGGAACAGTGAACAAAACAACACGTAAGTAGGATCCAGTCCAGCACGGGTTTTAAAATACCATTACCTAAACAACAAATTGTGACCACTGGTGAGAAAAACAAAAATAATGCAGCAATACACTGCCAAGAAATTAAACTCATTGCTCTGTAATCACTTTAAATTTCACCAAAAGAAGAACCAAAAAAAAAAAAAAAGAAAATACACAAATGTATTCAGCTCCTACATGTCCTAAAACTGCAGTACAGTCATCCTAACCTCCCTTTGCTGTCAGTGGATGGAGCAAAGGAGGAGCAATAAGTAGAGGACCAATTTAAATTAAATGTCATACTCTTATTCTTGGTCTTGCCTGAGCCTGCATTCCTGGACAGGATACATACATCATTGTGCTAAGTAGTATGAAAGAATAAATATTAAATCAGAATGACTTCTTTTTTTTTTTTTCTCAAGAGAACACCTCAAACCTTTATTGCGAAACCCTACATGTGATCCCTTTTTAAAAACCACTTTTTAATTACATGAAATCCATACTACAAATCCCCTGTAGCCAGAAGGCAGAAAGGGAATTGTATTGTAGAAGCATTTGTTGATCTTCAGTCTCTTCCACTTTCTTTCTCATTCTGCAGTAATAAATCACTCTAACTAAACACTGTGGGATGTTTTCTCTAATTACAGTGCTCTACATGTTAAAGAGCTGTACGTACCCAGAGGAGTGGAACCCATGGCTCTGCTATCTACACAAGAGACAAATACTGGACTGCCATGTCTTTTTTATCTAGGTACAATAAACCTTTTGATAAGACTACTTCTCTAAACAAAATGAATACATATCTTTAATCCTGCTCATAACTTTATGAGTACATCAGTTGTTCTATATTCTATTCCAAGCATAATAATCACAGAGAATCATCAAGTTTGGAAGAGATCCTCAAGATCATCAAGTTCAACCATCAAAGTAACACCACTATAATCTCCCCTAAACCAAATCCCCAAATCCAGACATCTCTTTAATTCTTTTTTCATTCATTTTATACCAATGCCTAGCAACTCTTCCAGTGAATAAAATAAAATTCTAATATCTAAAATTTGGAACTCAGTAGAAGTAGAGCAGGGCACACTTGAAATTAAAATAATTCCATAACCTACTTACAACAGTTACTGCCTTGGAGCTGTATGTTCATTTCCAGCTATTTACTGTGGTTGAAAAGAGATGCAGAAGCATTGCAGTAAACATATGAAACAGTGTTTAATAAAGGATGAAGAGAAACAGTTATTTTTAGAAATGAATGGCAAAAGATGATACATTATAGGAAAAAGTATCAGATGATAGGAAAAGATACAGCTAATTTGTATTTTCTATTTGCCATATCACAATGTATGTGCCAAATAAAATCTAGTTTAATTCTGAAAATACAGTCTTCATATCCGTTGTCATTATCAATTCAAAATATTGCCACGACATGAACACAGAGGTCCTTCAAGAACTATCACCCTTTAGGAGAGAAATAAAGCAGTAGGAGAAAGCATTTAAGAGGAAAGTTCCAAGAAAGAGGTTAAGGGATCAACAGGCAGAGAGTCTGGATTGGCTTTCTTTGCAGAGAAGAGGGTTACTTAGGGGTTTGTTTGCTTGGGCTTTTTAACTTCAAATAATCAAATTTTGGATGAAGTTATAGGCTGCACTCCTTAACCATGGATTTGATCTTGTCTCACTAGAATAGGAATACTAAGGTATCCCTGTAAGTATTAAGAGGATAGCGAGAAATCTTTAGATCATTCTTTTGGCAAATCTTCTGTTGAGCTGTTGTTGAGCAATGTTTTAATACCCTGTGCTATAAATAAAAGTCTACAACCATGATCAGTATGCCAGTAAGTCTATGCCATCCTGGATACTCTTTCAGGATGGTTGCAGTAGCAAAATACCACACACCTGGCATAAGAAAAAGGAAACAGGTTTCAGTGCGATTTCCCAAAGTAAGAAATTAAACAATAACATGAATTTTAGAAAGTATGTATTTTCAAAACACATAATACTATCCCTAATGTCAGTCAGATAACTTTTACAAATTGCTGCTAGCCCCAAATTTATAAACTGTTGCCCATGGTATAGGGATTACCCATATGCAGGATATCACATTTTTTGAATGGTAATATACCTATTTTCGTTAAAGACACTGAGTTCCATATATGGTTTAATGCTCAAACCTGTCTGATTCAAGAATTATTTAAGTTTATGCTGTCTGCATTTTATAATTTTTTGCTGATTTTTTTTTTTCAGAAAGTTGGCAAAGACTGAAATATTGTGAAGTATTATGTAAACTAAAGAGTCACTGAGTACACATTATTGATGCTTCAACATAATAGGAGGGCAAATGATATTTCATTTCACAGATCATGTTTATATTTCATTCTAATTTCAACAACTGGATTTTTATTTTGGCAATATCTCCAGCAGAAGAGAATAGAATTTCCATGCCTCAGTGCTGTCTGTGTCAGAACAGACTGAGCACCCTGCTCAGTGGCTTCTCTTTAGAGGAGCTCTCAGCCCCAGCACCATGAGATGGCCCCTGTCCCACCAGCTCACCTTCTGCTTTACTCAGAAACGTGCTGGGTTTGTCTCTCCTGTGACCAAGACTAACAATGATGTTTCCATTTGACATTTTTTAGTCACCAAATGATGTAATTTTGTTTAGTCCAAAATTGTTTATGCATTCAGATGCAGCTCATCAAATTTGTTTGAAGAATGATTGTCATGCTGGCTTCACACTCAGGGGTGACTTCTTAGACCACAGCAGGCTGCGTGAGGTCTGTGCAGGGACAGGAATGCCTCCCTTGGTGCATTTCAAACCTGCAGCACGAGTCCTGCCACTGCAGCATCACCCAGGAACATTTCCAGCCCCCTACAACACCCACAGCAGAGCATACATGGATACCTCCATTCCAGGTATCCAACCTCATGATTCTATGTTTCACTCATCCTTAAAATGACAGTTACTACCTCCCTCCACTTACTACAGGAGCATAAGGGATAAAATGTATATTGAGTAGTCAATATAATTCAATCTATGAGCCAAAAAGGAGATGAGATAATCTCAAAACTGTTCTCCCCCAGTCTACTTCCAGTGAGATAAAGGCTATGTAAAAAATGGTAGATTGTAGCCTAAAGAGGTACATGTGAAGGAGGCTGACCTGGAGACAGGGCTAGAGGGAGGGAGCCTGGTACTACCTGGTGTGTGGGAGAAGATCTGGTAGAGGCAGGTGAGGAGGAGCTGTGGTGCTGCTGAGTGCTGCTGTGACAAGGCACATGCTGAAACATGAAGCTGGGACTGGTGTAAAGCATATTTTGGGGCTTAATTCTTCCCTGGATCTCAGGAGCCTGCTGGAGTTGCAATAATGAGCCTTTCCACCTTTTCCTCCATCTGATCCTCTGTAACTCAACTTCAGGGCAATGTGGCTCCATGAGATAAAGAGTTTACCACCTCTTCTTGATGTCTCTTGCACAAGGCTTAGTGGGACAAAGAAAAAGAGAAAACAGAAGTTTAAGTTGCTCTCTTCCTCTTATGAAGTTTTGATAACAGAAGGGGTCAGTGTAAGTCTACAGATAATAATTTCTGTGAAATTCAACAGTCTTGCCTTGAATTTTAAGAAGTTTTGCAAGAACTCCAAAGTTAATGTTGCAACATGTTAAATACAGGTACAGCATTAGACCACCCTGAAAAACCTGCCACCTGAAAAGTGCTGGGTGAACTGGTACTGAAATGACTCAGGCCAGAAGCACCTGAGTAAGGGACTTGGATTCCATTTTTCTGCATGTTCATGGTACATGGCACAGTTACCACGTGCCTGATTTCTGCAGTTTAAGACGTGCTGATGTAGTGTCCTGAGGAGGTTTATCAATACTTGCAGGACTATCAATACTTGCAGGACGATGGCCATTCCTAGGTGCAGTCATTACATCATGATAAAACTTTATTGCAAAATAAATTGATTAAGTAAAATCATGAAAGCTTCCCTCAGAAGAGCAGGGAGACAGGAGGTGGAAATCAGTCAATACCCATTGACAGCAGGGCTGAGGAGCCTCATACAACCTCCCCATCTCTCCTAAGAAATAGTCCTGTACCTTCTCCCTGACCAGACACCAGAAGAGCTTCATCTCCTGTTTTCATACAGATATAGGTTGTCAGTTTCTGTTGGTATTTCCCCAGATTAACATTTCTTATGTATGTCAAATTAAAAATGTTAAATATTAAAAATGTTAAATAAAAATAAAAAAAGGAAAACCAAGCCAAAACCTGAAAAAACTAAAACCTCAAAACACAAATAGGAAAGAATGTACTATAAAAGATACCTAGAGGTATCTATAAGAATTAATTATCTATAAGCATAAGAATCCCAAACCAGACAGCGTTTGGCTTTGGTATCTGCCTTTTCTGGTGCCTTGGCTAATAACAAGAGATCAGCCACAACTGTGAAAATATGAAATCTAGATGCTATTTTAATCCTGAATGTGAAGGTTCAAGACTGATTAAATGGCAGTTAAATAAGAAAAAAAATAAAATGGAAATAATTACTCAGATAGGCTAAGAATGGTTTCTTGAAACGGTAGGTGTTTGTCTTTTTTTGAGACTTATTTTGTCAATATCTTTTCTACAATTTTCTATCTTTACTATTTCATAAGAAATATAAGAAATTCATAAGAAACTTTTAAATATTTCCAATTACTCCTGTTATTTAAAGCACCGTGAGAAACCCTAAATAAAACAATCTGATTTTTCACTGACTGGTAGCTAGCTATGCTATCTGCATTTAAACCCAAGTTAGGTTACCTCCACCAGAAATTAGATATCTGCAGCATTCAGTTCAGTACAAGGGAACCTTGGAGCCTATTTCTGAAGGTACAGCAGCAACTGTGCCATTTGTTATTTCCCCAGTACAGTGTGCAGCTGCTCAGGCAGCCCCACTGTGGCAGTTTGCCAAGCAACCCAGACAGCAACGAGGCAACAGCTTCGTCCTCTCTGTGTTTCATCCTGACACTGTCACCTTATCTAAGCTTTCTGTAGAGTAATGGGTTTAAAATCATGAACAACTCAAAATATCTGTATTTTCTGAGAACAGCTTCCTTCTGCAGTATCAAAACATGACATTTGGTTTTTCTTCCCAAAATAAAAACACTCACTTCAGCTCTGTTCTGCAAGTCGGATTTTAATGGACTATTCTTAGGAGTCCCGGCAGCTCTTCCTGCCTGCTATCTATGACCAGAAGTGAGCTGATCCATCAGTTTTCACAGGAAACCAAATCAGCAAATGTCACACAGGCAATGGAGCAGGATATAGTAAAACATGCTCCACATATACATCCCGTGCTTCCTTTACACTTTTAAAGCTGAGACCAAAGTAGCAAACAGAAAACATAGGTATAGCGGGGAAAGCAAGATAAAGAGCTTCATAAATCTTAAAACCTGATTCTCCCTACAAACCACTCAGTGCAAATGTAAACAACTGAAGGTGAACATTAAGTGCTCAAGATATTGCATGCCATTGGAGTCAGAACACAGTCCAAAAAGGCTTGCCTTAAACATCCTTAAGTTTTGTTTGTTTTTCTCCTGGGTGAGTTGTTTAACTAATGCACCCAAAGCAGAAAACTTCTGTAAATCTCTTGAAACTACAGAACATGCCATAACTCTGATTTCACTCAGAGGCCTGGTTTACTTTTGACGCAGACTTAAAGTACTGCTTGGTTTACAGAAATTGAGGGATTCTATGGATGAATCCTCTATACAAAGCATGTGTGACCTCCTAGAAACAAAGCTTTATTATTAAAGATTCATTTATTTGTACAAAGTCTTTTTCTTTCTTTGTCTCTACTAATTGCATCATTCATCTCCAATTCTCGCTTGCTTTCTTTCAACCTCTCCACCTTTCTCAATTCCTTAAGACCTTGCCCCACATGCCATTCTCAACCAAACTGAAGCCACATTTAGCAGTGAAGCACTAAGAATAGGGATTAGAATAATTTCATTATGGCCTCTTGCTTGTCATTGCTATTGCAAAATAGAAAATTACCCCAATTTTAGAATAGAATGACTACTACATTCCATGTTTTGCCAGAGATACCTTCAACAGCTGCCTCTTCTGCTCATTTCTGCAAGACAAACAAATATTACAAATAAAAAAGACTGAATACTTGTAACAAGCTATGGATAACTTGTCAAGTCTAGTTTAGCTGAGAAATTCAGACAAAGAATTTCTGGGTAATAATGTCAGACTGAATCTGTAGTTAAGATCCACTTAACAGCAAAACATCCCTTACAGTTTTGCAATGGGAGTCACAATCACTGAAAGACTGAAAAATCAGTGAGGGAAAGATTACTATCCATGCAAAGCATATGCCAAAGGTGACATCTGTATCAATACCTGAATATGCACTCTCCTATCAAAGGCAAAGATCCTTTTTTACCAACTTTCTCAAATGAAATACAATCTCTTTAGTCTTGTGCTACAGACACTGATTTTATCCAGAACTGATTATTAGTCTTAATAGAAATCAATCCAAGACTATTGTACCTCAGGGGCCAAGTCCTTAATTTTCCAGAGGACTTTGTAACTCCAGTGGAAAAAGAAAATAGATAATTTTTTTTTTCATATTCTAGTAAACTCTGTGTAAAAGGCAGGCTTAAATATTCTGTGAATATATAGACAATGCTACAGCTGTCCTGAAGGATCCCAGAGTTTAAGAGGGAATCATGAAAAGGAGACTTTTTTCTGACTTTGTTGATAAGATTTTTAAGCCTACAGGATTTACTGTTGTGGAACATGCAGTAGGATTGCTGATAAAAACTGATCTGGCAGTGATGAGGCAGGAGATTATATTCCTTAATACAGAAGTAGAACATTATAAAAATAAATTGAACATGTAGGAGGTCAATGCAGTTTTTACCTGACTGCTGCCTACCTGTGAAACTGTATTGCAATGTAATAACAACAATTCTTAACAGCAGTTTAGAAGAGGTTGTCCAGGGAAGTTGTGGATGCCCCATCCCTGGAAGTGTTCTAGGCCAGTCTGAATATGGTTCTGAGGAATAGGAAGGTGTCCCTGTCCATGACAGAGCATTTGGAACTAGGTAATCTTTAAGGTCCCTTCCAACACAGACCATTCTATAATTCTGTGAATCTAAAAAGGAACACACAGTGTATGGCAACCTACACATGAAATTTTATGATGGACTTGCCACACAAACTACAGTATTTATATTTCTGAATCCTACAATGAATAAAATTAGCAAGCAGGATGGAACTATCAGCATGTATCACTAAA